ATTGGTGAGTATTTCTTTAAATTTCTAGAAGTTTTTTACAATGCTACTGAATTACTTTCTGGAGTTTATTATCCTACTGCTCATTTAGCTTTACATCAACTATTTAATATTTCAGAAACATTTTCTTATTATAGGGATACATAACTTTTTGGAAACATAGTTAAGTTAATGAAAAATACATTTAAAAGTTATTGGTCAGGTTGTCCTATGTTATATGCATTGGCAACCATTTTAGATCCTAGGTGTGTAGTAGATGGAACTGAATCATTAATGACTGCTATCGCAGAGAATTTAGGAATAGATATGCAACTAACTATTAGTGACGCTAAGAAGATGTTAGAAAAGGTTTTTAATTTGTATGAAGCAAAATATAGCACAGGTAAAAAAGAACAGGGAACTTCGTCGTCAACTACCAATTCGGGGCCTAAAGGATCGTCATGGAGTTTCTTGAAGAAGAAAGAGAAAACGGCAGGATCGTCCTCAACACAAGCGTCTACAGAACTAGTCAAATATTTTGATGCAAATTTTGTAATCGATGACGACAAACTAGACATCTTACAGTGGTGGAATAGCAAGACCGATTATTTTCCAACACTGTCCATAATAGCTCGTGACATTTTGACAACTCCAGTGTCAACGGTAGCATTGGAGCAAGCTTTTAGCGCAAGCAACCGAATTCTTGACGAAAAGAGAAGCAGAATGCATCCAGATATCTTGGAGGGACTAATGTGCGCTAAAGACTGAGAAGATGCTAGAAGAGAAAAACAACAATACACAGATGATTCGATGCATTAATATCTTTCTAACTTAGAAATAACAGAATCTTCTGGAAGCACTTAGGTTTGTAATTTACTATTCCTAGCTACTGCACTCTTTTTTCCTTCGCTAAGGTTTTGTCCCGATCTCCCAACGGGTTTTACTTAGCAAAGTTTTTAACGAGGCAGTCATTTATGTGTACTCATATTACATCAATTCAATAAAATCACATCTTTTGGGGCATATAATATATTTTTTTTAATTAAATTTTTTAAAAAATACAAAGGCCAGGGCCGGCCCGTGAAGGGCCTGGGCCCAGGCCCGGCCCTGGCCCTTATGGACTAGGGCCAAGGGCCTGGACCGGGCCTGAGTTTTTCTTCTTAGGCCCGGCCCAGGCACGGCCCAAGCCCTTAATGGGCCTGGTGTCAAGCGTGCTGTGCCGGCCCGGCACGGCACGTTTGACACCTCTATCCCCACCGCTCCACCTCACCGCCAGAACCTTGACCTGCACATCGTCGCAATCTGAACTCTCCAATCAAAGAGCCTTGTCGGCTTTTTCTCTCTCATGGCTGGCACGACCTCACAGGAGAGCTCGCTAGCCCTCCCCCTCCGTAGAATCATCCCCCACTGTGCTCCATCTCGCTGCAGGAAGCTCGACCTGGACGTCGTCGCCGTCCGACAGCTTCTTCTCTCTCATGGCTGTCACAACCCACGAGACGACTTGCCGCCCCTCTCTCCGACGTTCTATTCTCGTCTGAATAGCACGGAACGTTTCTGATTTTGAATTGGCTTAATTTGGGTTTAGGATTTGAGTATATGGATAACTATTTTTTGATGATAAGTCTTTCTTTTTTGGTTCTCAAATTCAAAAGAACTAAGTGGGATTAAGGAGATCGGATGTTTTTGATCTTATTGGATAAGCCGGTGTCATTGGCGGAGGCAATGCTCTGTGGTCGGCCGTGGAGGAGACGCTGGCGCGGCTGTGCCGACGTTTGTATGAAAGAAAAAGATGTTTTGTTTTTTATTTTTATTTTTTTATATTCTGTTATTTTTTTCTTAGAACTTTTTATTTATTTATCTAGTGTGCTAGTCTCTATTTGTGTTTTTAGAGAAAAGATTATTGTTGACCGTTGATCTTTGATCAAATGATCTGAGTGAATCACGCTATCAGTAGGATAGGAGGAAAGTACAGTCCCCTACCATGTATTTTTCCTTATTATTCTTTTCGCTTATTACATTTTTCCTGTTAGCTAACATTTACCAATATCCACCAACCGTTCTATTTTATTAGAATGGAGTTTACTTCAGTCATCTTAGGCTTTTCGTTTTAGTAAATAAATTAGGAGATAGCTACCCTTAAAAAAAGAAGAAGAAATTATAGCCAGAAAAAAGTCCATAAACTATTAATAACCAAATCCGTGTTAACTCAGACGGATCAGAGATTCTTGCCAAATTACATCCCAGATCAAGTCCAATTACTTTCCTAATTTTATAGCTTATATATTTGATTTCACTAGTCACCAAAATTGCTCAAACTTGACATTTGATTGATATTGTTAATTTATTATTGCATTGCTTCTTTGAATTGGTGATCAATCTTTTATTTATTGGTATAAAAAAGGTAATATTATTATTTTTTAAGAACTAAAGGAATTTTATCTTTTCTTCCTCTGAATATAGGCATTATACCAAATCACATTTTAGTTTTTATTTTCTGTGGTTCAATTTGCACACCATTTTTTACTCTCAACATTCTTTTAAACTAAAATTTTTTATTAACAAAAAGACCTTATATAAAATGACAAAGAGAAAAATAGACTTAAATTATATAATTAAATTTTATTATAAAAAGGAAACTATTTTTTTTCCTCTTGTATGACACACCTCACATTATAGATATTCCAAATTATTTTTTTAAAGGTTAGTCATTTCATTTGTTTCTTTAAGTCTAATTGTGTTTTTTCCTTTTACTTTTCCTTTTTTTTTTTTTGGCTATTTGCGCTCATATGCTATTTGATTGCACTTTCTTTTTAAGGCTGTACATAAACCCGATCAATTCGTAAATTCAATCCACCCCACCCTAACTGAACTTGAAAATGGCAACTTATAGCATTATTTTTTTTTTAGTTTTGGGCCCACTAAATATTTGACCCGAGGTGTTTGAGGCGGTTTGTGGGTTGAGCCTATAATAACCTGTATACTCCAACCCAACCCGCACAAACATGTCTGATAAAAAGCCTATGAGTGTGGACTGATAAGGATGGTTGCTGTTGTAGTGTTTGCTTTGGATAGATTTGAATTAAGCTTCTAATTTATGTTTGCTTCATGTTTGATGTTGGATGAACTACTTTGCTTCATGTTTGATGTTGGATTGAACTTTGAATTGCTATCTATTTGATGATGGACTAATTATAATTATTTATATTTGATGATGAACTTTGAATGTTGGAGTTATGTTTGATTATCAGTATTATTTCTATTTGATGATCAATATTATTTTTATTTGATGATCAGTATTATTTGATGATAAATTTTGAATGTTGGAGTTATTATTTCTATTTGATAATGAGCTTTAAATATTGAATTGAACTTTGATTCTTTGAATGATGAACCATATCACCTAACTCACCCCGTCCTGCCCCAACCCAACCCAAATATCATTGAATTGTGAAATTTTTCTAATATCGTTAAGACTAAATATGTACAACCCACACTCTTTAAAGCGTGATAAAAAAAAATTCTACCATATACCAACCCATGTACAACCCTATTTCTTTTCCTACTTTCTTTTCTGCGCATATGGCTATAGACACAGTGTAACTATGTTGTTGTTTTTAATTTACTTTTTCCTTGTTATGTTTTGTTTTTTTTCTTTTTTTCCATGAGTTGTTTTTAACTATATTCCTAGTTAATGAAATTTCCTTTTGAACTTAATAAAAAAAAACTTCATGCCCAAAGCTTCAACAAAAAATATTTATAGATAAATGATAAATTAAAATAACAAATAAATAAAATGACGAGTTTAAAACAAAAATAAAGTGCTCAAGGATTAATTGATTTTGTGCATATAGTTAGGGGTAATTTAGGAATAATAAGGTGTGTTAAAAGTAAATACAACTATTTAAAAATTATGTAGAGTGTGTAGTTAGAAGGGAGTGTAAAGAAGATGTAAAAAAGGTGTGTAATTAGCCTATCATTTATGATAAAGGACAAAATCTTCTAAATTAAATCCTTAAGCACTTACATCTATATTTCTTGAGGAAAAAATCCCTTGTATATTTTGTATTACGTTGATAATAATTATATAATATTTTGTTATGTAGATGAGGATTATATCTTTTTCAGGGTCAACAAAACGCCATAGCCAATTAAGGGTAAAGAATACACCAAAAAAAAAAAAAATACATACAAGGAGCCATCTAGACATTAACCAACACATACAAAAAAAAAAAAAAACTATTTATGACATATATAAAGAAGACATTTTTAAGTACACTAAGCAAGAAATAAATAAATGTTTTTTTAAAATGCAAATTGAAGGGTTCTTTTGTGCGTAATCTGCTTTTTCCCTTTTTTTTCTCAAGGAGAAGAAATTCAAGTATAAAAAACGATTAATAAGTATTTTAGTTTTTTTTTTTTTTGGTAAAAAAGCTTCAAAGTTTTTTTTTTTTTTTTTTTGGCGCTAGGTCATTAGAACCATTGATTCAAACTTAACATTGACAAACTAGTTAAAAATTCCCATTTTTTTTCCTTAAAAAACGAATTTATAATTCCATCAAATCTCAATTCACAAGAAAGGATCCTCCGGAACTTTATAACCATAACTGACAAAATAAAAAGAGAGTGAAGTGTGAACTGAGGAAACAAAAGAAAAAAGAAAAAAGGAAAAACCAGTTTTATAAAGGAGACACGGAGTTTTCGTAAATTACTAGCACTGCCACTGGACCGTACACGGTTTTAGTATAAAATTTTTATAAAGAAAAAACGACTAGTAGGTAAAAGTAAAGAAGAAACGAAGAAGCACAGAAGAAGAGTAAGAAGAAGACAACGACGAAACTTTCTCTCTCTCTCTCTCTCTCTCTCTACATATATATATATATATATATATATCTGTTCCCCTCAGATCTTTTGGCTCTTCTCTGTTTCTCTTTATCTCTCTTGCGCTCTCAGATTTTCCCAGAAAATAAGAGAGAGAAAGCGAAAGCAGGTTTAAAGTTAGCGTAGGAATTTTCCTCCTTGGATTCTCAGAATCTAGGGCATTGAAACTTTTTCGAGAAAATTTCACCGTGTCGGTGTTGGATCTGGGGAAAATTTGGATTAGAAAGAAGTTGAAGGGAAGAAGAAGTGTGTGTTCGTGAGGAGTTTGGTCTCGTGATCCAAATCAGGTTTTCGCTTGGGTAATGCGGCTGAGTTTTTCGTGAGAATTTTGACGTTTTTCTGATCAGCTTTCGCGTTTTTTTGCCTGCAAGAAGAGCAAGAAGATGAACTCAGATCGCCAGAAGAAGGTCCTTTTTCCCTTTTTCAATGGAATTTCTTTCCAAGTGCTTGAAGATCTTCCTTAAAGTTTTGCTTAATGTTTGGTTTACGTTAAAGCGAGTTCGAGAAATGGAAGTTTCCATTTTTGAAATCTATGGGTTTATAGATTTTTGTTACATGTTATCAGGGGCAAAATTTTGTTTCGTTTTCTAATTACCGAGATACTGGGAATTTTTGTGAAAGATTTTCTTTTTCCCTGGTAAAAACACAAGAATGAAGGCATGAGATATTACTAGCAATTGTTTTGTTCATTTTCCTATTTTCCGCTACTGTTTCTTTGCGTTTGTTCTTTCGTCTTTGCTGTTTGTGTTGTTCTATGATGGCTTTGAATGTGAATTTCTCTCTAGAAAAATTCTTGAAATGGGTTTATCAAGAATTTAAAGAGACTTACAGATCAAAACTAGAAATTGAATTAAATAGTTTAGAGTTTGATCTGCATTTTTTTTAAAACTATTTGTATAGTTTTACAACATTGATTTTTGTATTGTGTCATTGTGATGGCATGCATTCAAGGAAACGAATCTAGTCTTTTGGATTTGTGCTTGATACTCCACTATTGCTATTTGTTTATTTGTTCTCGCTTTTTATTTTAGCACCTGATTCTGCCCTCCCATTACTTTTTCGAGTACTTTATCCACTAATCCAAATAAGAGATAGAGATGAACTCTGGAAAATTTGTATTGTTGTAAGAGTGTTGAGCAATTTAAAATTTGGGATTGTGTGAAAAAGGATAGTACATGCATAATTAACGTCACTTTTTAATTCTTCAGATCAAAGACATGGAATTTTTCACCGAGTATGGGGATGCCAATAGATATAAGATTCTAGAAGTTGTAGGAAAGGGGAGTTATGGAGTTGTCTGTGCAGCTATAGACACGCATACTGGAGAAAAGGTTGCTATAAAGAAAATAAACGACGTATTTGAGCATCTCTCAGATGCTATCAGAATTTTGCGCGAAGTCAAGTTGCTCAGGCTTTTACGGCATCCTGATATTGTTGAGATCAAGCGCATCATGTTGCCTCCTTCAAAGAGGGAATTCAGGGATATTTTTGTTGTTTTTGAGCTGATGGAGTCTGATCTTCACCAAGTTATCAAAGCTAATGATGATTTGACACGCGAACATCATCAGTTTTTTCTCTATCAGATGCTGCGCGCATTGAAATATATGCATACAGGTGATTATTTTAGTTGCGTTTTATTGTAGATGCTAAATTTTACTTATAGTTGCTTAAAATAATTCGTTTTGATCTACTATTCATTATTTGGTGATGCTACTAGCTAGGGCATAAATCTTGTTTCCTTATTGCAAATTTGGGCAGGGCTAATTATAGTTGTTTATTTGCAGCAAATGTGTATCATCGAGATCTTAAGCCGAAAAACATTTTGGCAAATGCAAATTGCAAACTTAAAGTTTGTGACTTTGGGCTAGCAAGAGTTGCATTTAGTGACACGCCTACCACTATCTTTTGGACAGTATGTATTTGCACTAATTTCTGATAGTTTTTATTGTGGCATTTCTTAGTTTATTTCCATGCTATGAAAATTCTGCATGAAGATAATGTTAACTTACATTGATTCTTGTGATATTCACAGGACTACGTTGCCACGAGATGGTATAGAGCTCCAGAGCTTTGTGGTTCATTTTTCTCAAAGGTATTGATGACATTCTATTATTGGCTTACTTTTTGTTTAAAGCAAATTGAATGAAATAGACATGGTCTGTGGTCGCTTGGACTGTAAAATTGGTATGCCTTCTTTCTTGTTTTGCTTTGCATCCCATGTATTCTTGTTATATTTGCGAAAAACGCGTGATCGTTCCTAAATACCTGGGGTGTCTTATCCTTAGCTTATGTTACAGTACACGGTTGCTGTTTAGTTCCTTTATTGTTATGCTTCTTACATGTTCTAACTGGGCACAGTAACTGGAGTTGGAATAGAAAAATTTCTTATTTTGAATGAGAGCAACGACAAACATTATTTTTAGTGGTTGCCAGTAATTCTTTCAATTGAAAGTTTGGAGTGTATGCCCATGTTAGGTTTGTAGTCGTGAAGTGCACTTAGTTCAAGTTGTTCTCTAGGGAAGTAGGCCATTTTTTTGAAATCTCTAAGTGTTGGACTTACTAGGCTCTTATTTATGCACCAAAGGAGCTGTATGCTAATTCCTCTTTCTAGGATCTTATTCATGCATTGAAGTAGTTCATTGGCTGATTATTTCCACTGCATATCTATATTACAGTCCTTTTCATTACGGTGGTGAGCATACTAACAAAGAGAAGTTGAGTAGGTCTTTTACTTGGATGGAATAGTTAAGAGTTATGCATGTTTTCTGTTTGTGGAATATGTTGAGTGCTTTATATAGTAAAGCAGTAATGCCTAGATTATAATAATTCTTGTTCAGGGAGGACTATTGAACTCTTTTGGAAGTTGATATTCTTTCATTCAGGTAATGGTGTCAGGTTATATCCGTTTCTCTGGAGCTGTTCAGTCAGTGTATGAAGTTTGTTCTGGTGTAATGGTCTAACTATTTTTTTGGCATTTTTTTGCAGTATACTCCAGCAATAGACATTTGGAGCATCGGTTGCATTTTCGCTGAAGTGTTGACAGGGAAGCCGCTATTTCCTGGTAAAAGTGTTGTTCATCAGTTAGATTTGATCACTGATCTTCTGGGGACACCTTCGTCAGAAACCATTTCAGGAGTATGCGTCATAACTCTTTCTTCTTGCATGCCTACCTACATGCACAAACATATATCTCGTCTTTCTAGTTTGCTGCCTGGGATGGTTGGTTTCTAAGTTGTTTAGATTTAACTATTTGCAGGTTCGAAACGAGAAGGCAAGGAGATACTTGACAGAAATGCGGAAAAAGCCTCCTGTTCCATTTGCACAGAAATTTCCAAATGCGGACCCTTCAGCTCTTAGACTATTGCAAAGACTTTTAGCTTTTGATCCAAAGGACCGGCCTACTGCTGGGGAGGTTTGTCCTTGTATTATGATTCTTTTTGCTGACTGAATGTTCTTTTCTCAAGTGGCATTTAACTGCTGCAATTAGATAAATATAATTTCTTTTCTAAAATTTGTTCTCTACAGTTTTCAATTGTTTTTGATGTTAGACTAAATTCATTTTCATTTTCATTTTTAATTTTTTGATAGGCACTGGCCGATCCTTACTTTAAAGGCCTGGCTAAGGTTGAGAGAGAACCTTCTTGTCAGCCCATCTCGAAGCTTGAGTTTGAGTTTGAGAGGAGAAGAGTCACAAAGGAGGATATTAGGGAACTAATATACCGGGAGATTCTGGAATACCATCCGCAACTACTCAAAGACTACCTGAATGGATCCGAGGGCACAAACTTTTTGTATCCCAGGTATGAAATGGTTCTTCCTAAACGTGCAACTTTTCATTGCACTGTTTGGTGCGTTTATTTTTGTCTTATCCAATGATGACACGCTGCTCATCTTTTTGATCCAGTGCTATAGGTCAGTTTAGAAAGCAGTTTGCTTACCTTGAGGAAAATGGCGGTAAAAGTGGACCAGTTATTCCTCCAGACAGGAAGCATGCCTCCCACTCCCTCCCACGGTATCAATGCTCGCCTTGTTTTGGTGATTATAATTATTACTTGAAACTTCTTCCTCGTCTCACTGTGCCAATATCTTTATATACAGGTCTACAGTCCATACAAGTACGGTTCCTCCTAGTGAACAGCCTATTATGGCTTCATACGACAATCGACGTATGACAGCACATACTTCTAACAATATGGGAGTAACAGATACGAATTCTAGAAATTCATCAAAATTTTTACAGCCACCACCACGGGTTCCAGCAGGTAAGAATTACTTTATTCTGAAATCTTTTATTACTAATGGGTTATGGCAAACAACACTGAATATTATCTATAGCCCAAATATTTGAGCTACTTTGAACTATTTAAGGACGCAAAATTTAAATTAGGGAAAGCAATGAGCCTATATGTGTTCCCAAACAAAGATCTACTTGATTACTGCAGCATCCTTGTCTCCATTGTTTTTTCCCCGTTATTCTTTCCCCTGCTTTGCCTTTGTTTTATTAACAAAACATTTGCCTTTCCTCTCTGCAGCTAAACCAGGGAGAGTTGTTGGACCAGTTCTACCTTATGAGAATGGCAGAAACACAAAAGAAACCTATGATCCGAGGATGAGAAATGGAATCCTTCCGCAGGCCGTCTCTCCACACTGCTTCTTCCGGACGCACACTACAAATCAAGAGAAGTCTGGTTTGGAGACTTCACAACTCAAACCACAGTCCCAGACCGAACAATTGAATGTGGCAGGAAAACAATCTCCGTCCATGGTCATTGACGTGAATACCAACCCATATTACCGGCAGCAACAGAAGGTCGATCAGTTGTCTGCCATCGACGCAAAACTGCTGCAAGCTCAATCGCAGTTTGGCGCTGTAGGTGCAGCGGCTGTAGCAGTAGCTGCTCATAGGAACTAAGGAGAAGAGAGTATTAGGTATGCATCGTCTTAGGTTGGTTAACATGGGGCTTGCTGATAGGTACGTGGGGCTTGCCCAGTAGATTTGTGTACGTGATGATCCTTTGGAAATTGGGTTCTCCTCTTGGGGAAGAGAGGTTTCATCCCACGTTCTGATTAATGTCCCCTTTGTAATTATTCATACGGATTATTGATTTTTTAATAAAAATTATTGTTTATCTTCCTTTAATTGATTTAATCAACTTCAAGCTGATGGCTGATTCTGTAACATGTTCTATGCGTTAGTAGTAGCTTATAGTGCCCTAGTGTTGGAACTTTGGACGGGCTGGCCGTGACCGTATGAAAATATCGAGTTGTTATCCGAACCCGAGCCCGACCCACCCGAAAAATTCGGGCTGCCCGCCCGAGCCCGAAAATGCCCTTGAACGGGCCGCGGGCTTATATGTGGCTGCTCGAACCCGGCTGGGCCGCCTGAATAGCCCTAATTTTTTTTAATATTTTTTAATTTTTATAATTATTAAGTTAGTTTGTGTTAAAATTATATAAAAATCAAAATCAACATTCAATAGACATTATTAACACAATTGAATAAATTAATCATGTATATTAATGATGTATATCAAATTCGTAATTCATGATTGTCTCGTTAAAAATCTTTTTAAGAAAAACCCAATTGGGATAAAAACTTGGCAAGAAAAAAGAGTGCAATCATTTTGTGACGAATTACAAATTTTATAAACTTATGCCTCGTTCACTTCGCGGATTCGAGTTTTCAATTCGAGCTGAGATGTGACATTTTCTGAGAGCTTTTCACTGTAGCAGAAAAAAATTAGATATGACATTTTCTGAAAGCTTTTTACTGTAGAAACCTAGAACTGAAAACTCAAATCGGTGAAATAAACAAGGCCTTACAAAGTTGTACAATTACAAATACAATGTCAAAAGTAAATATATATTTACAAATTACAAATTTACAATTTAATTTGAAGCTGAAGGATCGTCTTCAAAATTAAATGTTAATCGATTAAATTCATCTATCCATTCTTGGCTTGCCGGCGAAATTGTATCCTGTAGACGTTGATCGGCCCGACCCCAATCCTTAATGCAAACCAAGGCTTCAACAATATCCCTTTGCAATGCATTCCGGCGCTCTTCAAGTATTCTTCCTGTAGTACTGAAGGCTTGTTCGGATGATATAGTGGAGAATTAGATCGAAAATATGTCCATTGCCAATCGAGTTAGGATTGGCCAAGTTAATGCCCGTGCCCTCCACCATTGAACTAAGTCAAACGATTCTGCCGTACCGTCGACTACTAAGCCTTCACTGAGGTACGCCATAAGCTCGTTGA